GATGCTAACAGAACCACTCTGCTAACAAGACCACGATGCTAACAGAACCACTCTGCTAACAAGACCATGATGCTAACAGAACCACTCTGCTAACAGGACCATGATGCTAACAGAACCACTCTGCTACTTTTGGCCCTTTGTTTTGTATTTTTCTTGCATGCTTCGGTGTTTCTTGTTTTTTGTGGCGAGTCGAGACGGTTCTTCTTGTCCTGAGCATTTCATTGCATTGTTGACCTTGTGTTGACCTTCATAGGACAAATAAACCAAATCTTAACCCTGCCATCAGTCTCAGAATAAAGACAAGAATTTGTGAAGAATTGTGAAGAATGTTCGGGCTGCTGTTAAATATACCGTATTGTTTTACATTATTAGTGTTTAGTGTAGATCTTAGACCTTTTAGCGTATTGTTTAGTGTATATCTTAGATCCTCATATATTGTTTCTTTTTATACTTTATATTTTGCTATTTTTGGATGTAACTGGGACCCTGAGTACACAACTTTGTTCCACCTCATGTACCACATGTGATGCGAATGACAAATAAGGAACCTTGAACTTGAATTTCTAATTATGATGGAGACCAACTAGAAACATTATGAAACTGAGATCAAATGTCTGTAAAACATGCATCTTTGACCAAAAAGACAAAAATATTTAGATTCATAACGGGTTTTCTAAATTAAAACACAATAGCTGCTATAATAATACATTTATAGCTCAATAGCTGTAAAACTGATAATTATTGGCATTTTTGTGTTCGCTATGGTCAGTTAGCTGTGGCAACCATCTTGAATCTGATTGACTGTAATCAGTTGTAGATATACTGTACATCCAATAATTATTTCAGAGAATTTCATAAAAATTTGTCTACTGATTTAGGACATCAGACAAACAAACAACTACGATAGCCCACCAAACTATTTGGATGAGGACAATTCCCAGAAATTCCTAAATTTGTTGTGAAAAAAGCAACATTTGCTAATAACTATTCAGAGCTGAAACAATACGATGATTTCAAACACCAATTGAAGGTGGTTATTAAATAGATAACGTAGGTAAACCTGAAGGTTTGAATTGTGGTCTTGCAAAATCTTTAACATGAACCCAATTAAAGTGATGTTAGCTGTGCTTCAAATGTTGCCAGAAAACTGAGAATATACTTTCAAATACACATCTAGATTTTGGTCACAAGTTTAGCGTTGGCAACTAAAATTTGTTAAAGTGCAACTTGCTAATCTCCATTAAGATTTTTGAATATGGATTTTATAAAACATGAAATAAACATGTAGCATGTAAAATCATTTTATTCCAGTCAAAGAAAATGGAAATAAAAAGTAATGAGATAATTACTGACCTGTACAATTTCTTCAAAAGACCTACAGGGAATCAGCTGAAACGGATCAAAAGACCTAAGATAAGACCAGATCAGAACTTTATTGATCCCGCAGCATACACAGAGTGTACTGTCAGTGTTCCTGTACTGATAGTTTAACACTTAAAGCATCCAGCCATCATACTCACTCCCGGTATCTGGACATTTTGCAGGGTTTAGGCTGCTTCTTCATCTCCTCCCTCCTCAAAGCCAGCTCCTCAGCGCTGAGATGCTGATAAACATGTCACCCACACAGAATCAGCAGAACCATTCATGTCAATTCAAAGGTTTTAAAATCTTTGCATGCCACAGAGTCCAAACCTCATACGTCTGCCCTTCCAGATCTTTGGCGTCACACCAGTTCCCCCAAATGTCTCGCACTCGCCTCTTCCTGGTTCGCTACAATCAATCAAATGTTAGCTCAAGCCTGTCAAATTTTGCTGACAGAGTCTGGTGATTTTTGGGGTACCTACCATGCTCTGCAGTCTCTGAGCAAGCTGATAGGCCTCCAGCACATCTTTGCCCTCCTTTTGTTTAGAACGGTCCACCACTTTTGGGCGATTATACACAGCTTGTTCTACAAAAACAAGTCACACATCGAGAATGTAACTAAAACAATCAAAGAAGTAAAATTAAAGTAAAACTCCACAGGGTTACCACAGTTGAAGTTGATGGCTCCAATGAGCTCCAGGTAGGTGTGTATTCTGCCAATGCAGTTAACGTCTCCACAGTTCTTCAGACCCGGGCGCACCGATGTCTTGTTCAGATACTTGGGTTTGCTCTTCAGCCTAAAAGACACAGACAGCAACAGTCACAGTAGAGCTGTGGTGAACTTATAGTTATTAAACCTACACTGGAAAAAATGTCCCCCAATCACAGCTTAAGATGTTTCAACAAAATATTGGATTTTGCACTTTTTTTAGCTAGCTTGTATGATTTGGTACCACTGGTCCAGGATGTAGTTTCTAATCTTCAGATATCTTTCTGGGGTTTTTGATGGTCGTCCCTCAAAGAACTCAGGTATGGCTTGTTTCTCCTCCTCAGCGATTGTTTCTGTGTCCATCATTATTTCCTGCTCAGGGGCCTTGAGCTCCTCCTCTTCTTCATCCTCCTCTTCATTCATATTTAGTCTGTGATCCTCAGTCTTATAAACATATTCTGTGTGAGGCAACAAAACACATGTAAAATCACTAAATTGTACATATATTAATTTAAAAAGTCTGTGTGGATTACCTGTGGTGTCACAATGAGCTTCACCTGATGGATCAGTTTGTGCTGAAATGTCACACTGAGAGTTTTGACCTCCTTCTGCATCAGTCTTTTGCTCTTCAGAATTTCCCGTCTTTACAACTTTCTCATGTTTATCACTTGTTCCATGTTCCTCAGTGCAAACGAGGGGAGGCGAGCTTTGAGGACTTTGCAGAGAAGGTGAGCTGTTATAGAGTTGGTCCTCGGTCTCGTGGCTGCACTCAGCCCCAGTCAGACTCACTTCTGTTTGCTCTTCTCTGGGACTTTCTGGTTGACACTCAGTCCCTTTCTGCTGCTCTGGCCCACAGACTTCAGTTTTGGTGTCTGCTCTTTCATCCTCATTCAGGTCATCAGTGATGTCTACATCCTCATCATCAGAAAGTCTTTCAATGCGGACAGCATTGGCCAGAGAGGACACACTGCTCGGAATGGGCTGAGGAGGCTGCGGGTGAAACTCAGGACTGGTAGAGGGAGCTGCAGCGTTGGACCCTGACTTTTCCTTTAGTTTGAACAAATAGGAACAAAAAGAGACAGACTGTATTACATAAAGAAATTATTTTGGACATACTAATTGCTACCAAGAAGCCACACAACGTAAGCAGGTTGTCTCACCTTGTGTTTGAAATACTGCCTGGCATAACTCTTCACCTGAAGAAGACTACGAGTGCCCACCAGCTTGGCAATCTTGGTCCATCTTCGGCCAAACTGGGTCTGCAAAAATAAAAATTAAGAAAAGAGGAAAAAGAATGTTTGAGCTGTGGAAAAAAAATATTCAGACCTGTAAAACAATAATGTTGGATTTTCTTTGGCTGTTGCTCTATTCTGTAACGATAGATGTGAAATCACTGGGTAGCTTTAATGTAATCTTCCCAACAAACGGCAATAATCACAAGAAAAATGACTTTGCTTCCTAATAAAGTATCTTCTACAAAGAAGCTTACATGTCCCTGTCCTACACACTCCAGCAATGAGGTTTCAGCTGTACATTTAGAAAAATAAAAAGCTTACCAGTCCTTCCTCAAAGAGTTTTTTCTCCTGTTTGGACCAGCGAGACAATGAAGCAGATGCTGAAGTTAAGCTCTTGGAAGGAGCCCTAAACATCCAACAGAGAGGAGAGTGACAAATTAAAAAAACAAATAACTGGACTCTGTGTGATGCTGAAGAAGAAAGATAAAAGAAGAGTTGACTTACTTCTTCACTTTGGGCTTTTTGTTGGAATCAGTGTGCAAAATGTTGTCAGGAATTCCCTTTCCTGTCAAATAATATCTTCAAGAACAGTTCAGGGTTTTAAAATGCTGGGTTTTTTTGTTTTTTTTTCTATTTTAGGTATTTACAAGATAAAATACAATAAAATATACAGTGGATTCAAATCTAATTTAAAGGCATTAACATAAAAATGGTGAGCTAGTTTATGTTTTGGATAAATAACTTTCCATAAGCCAGAAACATATTTTCTGCATATTTTAAATATGTTTGTTTTTTTGTAAAGCTTCCAGTGATAGCTGAAGAAAAAATATAAATAAGAAGCAGGCAGTTGCATTTTAAAGTGTATAAAATTAATACCAAATATAAACCTAAATTGTTTGGACTGAACTTCACATGTTCATTACACAGCTGTGGCTTAAATTTACCTACAATATATCTATAACGCATATTAAAAATTATTTGTGTCAGGGTTTAGTAGAGTTCAATTCAATTCACTTTATGTATATAGCACCTAATCACAACAGAAGTCATCTCAGGGCACTGAACAAAAAAATAATTGTAAATTATTCTGCAAAAGTACATGTGCTTAATTATAGTTTTTTAATTATTTTACAAAAACAGTACAAAATAATTGACTATATTAGTTTGAACGTTTACTAATGTTTTCAAGATCAAACAAGTAATTGTTGTTCTTCTGGCTTCCCCTTCTTGTAGGGGTCACCACAACAAGAGAACAAAATATTTTGTTTTACGGCCTGATTACGCTCTTCCTGATGCAACCTGGCCTCGAACCTGCAACCTCAGGATTACAAGACAGCAGCACTGACCACAACGCTTCATTAAGAATCAGATCGTCTTATTTCATACATGTCTTGCTTTTGCTCCCTGGTTTAAACATTCAACTGGTTTTTATTCCAAGTTTCTTAACTTTCCATTAGGCTTAGTGATATATACATATATTTATTTATTTATTGTTGTTGTTGTTGTTGTTGTTGTTGGTGTGTGCTTACTTCAATATGAGCTAATGTGCTAAAAAAGTGTCTTGTCTACCTGCTAATGACACTTTTCTTTATTTTGCACATTTAGCAGATGAAAATTTCAATTTTCTATCAGAAGCACTCTTGTCAGCAAACAGTGATTAAAGGATACTGTTCCTCCAGCAGCATCCTCTCGATCACCTCTCGGTTCTCAGGGCTGATGGAGCTGTCCAGCTCCCAAGGCTGTAAAACACTCAAAGTCAGTAAAATAACCCACAACCACCTGACGAACAGTAGGACTTATCGCTTCATACCAGCATCCAGGAGCTGCTTTTCCCAGCAGACTGGATGAACTGCTCCTGGACTAAACCTCCTGTGTCCAGCTCTCTGCAACATGAGCAAAACAAGCTGCTTTTGATGTAGAATTATGTTGTGAACAATAAACACACGTCCATCCAAGCTAGCTAATGCACCGCGGGATAGGAAACAGCTCTTAGCAGCGTGAAGGAAAGCACACGACACTAACAGAGAGAACGGATAGGAATTAACCAGAATGACTCTGTGGCCTTACCTAAAATTACTTTCAAATTCGTCTCCTTCGATATCAACATCCACATCATCCTCCATGATGGACGAACGTAAACAGGAGACCAAGCGCCGCTACGTCAGAGAGGAGGTGTTCAGCGCTGCTCACAGCGACCCCTGGTGGCTGGGAGGAAGAATGCTCCACAGGTTGGACCGACA